GGTACACTGAATATTATAGAAGTGGAACCAATGGAATGTGTTTTCGGAAGAATTCCAAATATCTTTTAATCAATTTTGAACATCCTCTTGGTTTTTTCTATCAGATTTTTCCACTTTCCCAGCTTTTATTACCACATTCCATATCTAATTGAAGAAACGTTATTGTTCTCTTATTAAGAGAATTTTCATTTCCAGGAAAAGTGCTCAACCACATTTTAGAGTTCACTAATTTGGAATATCTTGTTTCTGGAAAACGTGCCAAAGGCTATACTTGTGATTAAACAATGAGTTTAACTGAGTTTCTGTCCATAGCTTTGTAGAGTTCGTTATTAAGAGTTTTAACGTCTTTTCCCTCTTCTTGCTACCTGTTTTGGCTTTCATATGAGGTCAAATTGATGAAGATGAAATAACTTGAACGTGGCGATTTTAGCTGAACTTGGTCAAAATACTGTAAACAGCCGTCATTGGTAGAAAGATAACCACCGGCAAAGCATTTTGATCTGTCAATCATGGCGGGAAGGTTTCCGATTCAATGGAATAAGTACGTTTCTGGTTGACATTCTGACTGATAACCAAAGCTAATGACCACCCGAACCACGAGGAAGAACTACATCCGTTGCTAACACGTCACGTGGGTACAGGGAAGCGCTTTCAAGTAATCGATAACATACTTGATACAATATTCTGGATGAGTAATCGTGGATAGTTAAACATTATGTTGTATCCGTTTTATGACACGTTAGATAATAAATCATCAAATCCAATAAAAAAAATATTAAGGTAAACATTTTGAATCTTAAAACATTTATTTTTTCTTTTGATTTAAATCATGAGGAAAATATGTTATTTCTTAGATAATATAGGTCATTATAACCTGTATTATTAGTGTCTCTGCTAAGGATCGTGCCCAGAAACTCGGGCTTTCTTTACTGTACAAGACAGAATATCTCGTCTGCCGAGTCGGAAGGAAGCTGGCGGTATTTTATCTTTCTTCTAGGTCAATAGCAATGCATTTGTGTGGTCGGGTGGCGCAGTGGATAACGCACTCGCCTTTCATCAAGACGGCCGGGGATCGATTACCCGATCGGAGTTGAAAAGGTAAGGGGTCACCTACCTAACCAAGTGGGTTCTTCTCCGGGTACTCCACTTTCCTCCCAAATTAAGACTCTTCCGTGCTATCAGGTGCCAACAAGAGCGATTATTCTAAATTAATATATATTGTTTCGCAATTGTTGTAAAAAAATGCATAAAGTTAATTTTTGTAACAAGAAAGCTTGCCTATAAAACAGCAATGAGAACTTTAGCAATGAATCACGATAAGATTTTGTAAAATACTTTTTAATTCAGTATATTATTTCATCCTACAATTCTCAACACAAAATATTCTACAATTACCTGTGATTCCGGTAATGGCTGGAGCTGGAAACCATGTAGCAGTTATCTTCTTTGTTTTTTTGTTTTTTTTCACAAATCTTTTTATGACCCCCATGACCCCAAATAACGAATCCAACATTATTTATCTTCTTCATCGCAATCACCTAATACAGAGAAAAGAAATAATGGCATGTTTAACTGTTCAAAGCTACTATACCTGCATACATTACAATACGAAAATATGACGGATTAGGCTTATGCCAAGTCTTATCAGGACAAAATTGACTGTACAAAAGTTTATTTTTATCAACCACCACACACAAAAATCATTGATTTGTCATGACATTTGTCAATCCATCAATATAAAATGTTATTTCTTTAGTTCTCTTTACGTAGCGCAAATATAAAGTTGTTTTCCTTGTTTTCCACAGACGAATTGGAAATATGGACTTACGTGTACGGGAAAGGGTACTGCTAGGAGGGGGATTCCCGGTCTTGTTTGTTTGTTACGTCATAGTTATTTGTCTTTCTGCTTAAGCTACACGTAAAGCAAACATGTAGGGCGCAATGCAAACATGTTAACTATTGGTTTGTCATCATTGCGTTTCTCCAAATATCAAAATGATTAATTTATTGTTGATGATCTGGCTTTTTTATGATATCACCTTTTCTTTCACTCAAAACGGGTTGAGATTTCGAATGATTCAATGTTTCCGTTGAAACACGAATATTTCTTTTAAGTTGCTAATTTTCTGTGTTTTCGTAAGGTGGTAAGCGTATCATCATCGGTAACAAGTGATAAACGCACTTACGCAAAGCAAATATGCGTAAGTGCGACCTTCCCCTTGGACCGTTGATGTAAGCGTATATCAATGTTGTTACTCTCAGGTTGTAGTATCATTCCATACTGAGTTCTCAGTCACAAT